AGGATGTCATTTTGATGGAACAGATTTTCCTGCACTGAAAAGTTGAGAAAGCCAGAACTTGAGAGAAGATACCTTCTGGTCCAAAAAACACTTGATCCATCATCAACAAGCAAAAATCTCAATGCAAATTCCTTACGCCAGCGTTCCTTAGATGGGATGACAGGACGCACCAGCGGGACGATAAAGAGAAGTTAGATAGAAGGCGGCGGGGAGCAACGATACATTTGTGTTCAGTGTCGTGGGTAGTTGTGAATTATTGACACCGAGTTGAGTTGTTATCGGCGTAGCACCCACACAAACTTACCTTAGTGCTTACGCAACAGACACGGCTTCAGTCAGCTCACTAATTATATTCCTGGGAGGTTATCGAAGTATCCCCGTTCCCTAGTAAGCATTTTAGCTTATGCAGCCATGCCTTCCATTGTTAGTACTGGTTTATTAGGTGGACTTGTTTGCCAGAGGTGTGCCACCGCAGTATCTTTATGACTACATTATGCCACACTAGGATTGAAAGTGGTTATCAAACTCAATCACATTTGTGTTGCATTCATATAATATTACCCATAGAGGATACAACAAGATAAAATCTATTTTAAAAGTTAATATGGAGAGACGCGACCACCACCTTGAATTGCACGAAAGGTTGTGTATTAACGCAATATGTTTTAAGGGGAGTCCGTGGATGAAGTTTCCAATGTATTCATCACACTTTTTCCCGAATGTCTGAATGGGCTTCACATACCTGGATTTGTAATGATACACCTTTTCTGATTGACTTTCGGCCGGATATTAGTGAATTGTATTCTATCTAACCCCAAAATATAGTGTTTTTATAAACCGTGCTGAATCATTATGCAAGTAAAATGAGGCGGCAACGGTTTGGTCCATAGAGAACTAATAATGAGCTGAAATGCTTCAGCATTACCCTTCTATCATTAACTAAGATTTACTGTTTGATCGGTAGGTTAGCCAGTAACACTGAGTTAGTGTTTACTAATACAAATGCGCTTTGCTTGCTGGCACTAGGCTTAAATAACCAATAATGTATCCATGGCAGGTTACAAGGCATCTTCTGCCAGAAGACGCTACGGTTGCAAGACGGATCGGTAACGATTGACCCTTAACTAGTATTCGGATCGTTCAAGGTACCTGAAATCCGATTCACTGTCTTTACATTTACATGGAGCATCATGATACCTTCATACAGCGAAAGTAGGCTGATTCTTGGGATAGCCTTGGACCTTGAGATAGCCTTGGGTAGCATGCTCTCCATGGTGATATAGGGGAATTACAATCGATTGGTCTATGGGTGTGGCAGAATGAAACTGATGCAGTAACAACTGCATTAAAAAAATTGCATGATACTGTATGTGGAAGTTTTGATGGTACGGAATGGGGGTGTTTTCTGGCATTGAGGCATGGAGGTAGTAATGATGTATAGAATGTGCTGTTATGAGATCGGACAGTCTGTGCGTTCTTTCAATGCAGTTACCGCTGTTATGTGATACTTAACGGACGTACGCTTTCGGGAAAGTGATTCTACTAAAGGATATTTTATTACACCGTGCACATAACTGACAAGGTCCTACGGATTTGTCTATGAAAAAAAAACGTTCTGCCAGCACCAAAGCGAGCCAAAGAAGGCAGACGTTGGACTCATTCAGCTAGATAATTAACTGGCTATATGTAGCAAATACTGGGCAATACTGACCGGCCGCGTTATCCAAAAAGGATAAAATAAAGGACACAAACAATGGAGTTGTTCTTGTGTTTAACTTGGAAGGATACGTGGTACGCATGGTAGCTATCTGCTGAGCAAGCTTAGATCTATCTACTGATACTCACAAAAACGGAGTGGGCATCATTTCGCTTCCAAGTACGAGATTTGAAAACGCATGATAAAGCCAATAAGCCATCTTTTCCCCAACTGAAAAACAGGAAATTGAAAAACTTGTATTTATCATTACACTATTTAGGCCAGTCCAATATAGACACATTATTACGGGTCAAAGTACACTGTGGTGGAGCTGAGAAAGCATACTGAGCAACAGAGTGGTGTTTGAGTAATTTTAAACGGCTGATATGGTTACAGATCTCCGGAAATGAGATTGGTGAACTCACGCGGTCATCGGGGTTATGTCGTTTCTATTTATAAACATCCCACTTGTTGCTGCTCACAAAACCCAATGGAATCTGTATCCGGCGGTATCATACAAAGAGAGCGGATCACTTTGATGCCACTTTCGCTCATTTGTTGGTATAACTCTACATTAGTTAACACTATGGCTCTTTTGATGAATGTGTAACTGTGGGTGGCATTGGGATGTACAGTTCCCACTTGTTTTCCTACGGAATTTTACTCCATTGCAGAATGAGTTAGACGATGTTGAGTGGTACTTATCTCCCAAAACAACGCCAGAAACAAAACTCATAAAGCATGATTTATATGTCTGAATGAAGTGGGTGCCTAGGCTGAACTTCATTGCCAAGTTGCAGCTATGTCAGCTGTTCTTGCCTTTCCGAAAAACGTAGTTCAGATGTTCGATTTTTTTCTTGCACTTCTATTTACATACCCTGCTCACAAGCGGAATGATCACTGCTCTATGCGTTCTATCTAAAAAAAGTCAGTGTGCTCTCCTGGATGGCAGACCTATGAAGATAGTGTTCTAAAGAACTTAGAAAGCAGCGCCAGTCGACCAAGCAATCCATCCTAGAGCAGTTTTTTGTGGGTTTCCGATCAGAGTCATTGGATTGAGTTGAGTCTTTTGTTCAAAAAACTTACCGTTTGATGTGCATTAAAGAGGTACTGAGTGAAAACTGACTCGGGGGTATTATATGGCCTTGTAGTGTCATGGTTTGATTGTCTGTTACTGTGGGTCCTGATAATAACGTGCGGTTTTCATTAGCAACAGTTTCGCTCGCAGCAAAAAAGTCAAGTGCATGTAGCCATCACTTTTTATCCTGACCTTCCTGACTACGATCTACGAGATGTCAGTCAGATAGAACCACGGCGATTTAGGGTCTGTTGGACAAATTTCCCATTATTCGTATTGCTGGAGTTGTCGTGTATAGCGTGAATGTGAATATAAAAAATTCCGCGACCACGTACAGTAATGAGTCAGAAGTATCGGATACAAAGCAGACCAGCCTACCAGACACCTGGTCGGCACACAAGTCCCCGTGAGCTGCTGAATAGGTATTCCAGGCGTTCGACCTGGAACAAAAACACAGGAGCCCTAGTCCATGCCACAGTCTCCTTTTGGGACGACCATTGCAGTACCAGTAAAGGAAATTTTTTTTACCGAATACGGCCATACTAGGACACATTGATGACCACAGGCGACCTCCAGTAACCCATCGTTATTAAACATTTTTTAGTTGTTAAGTTTTAATTGCCATGTATGGCTAACCACACTGATCGTACACTGCCACAAAGTGTACTTGCGTATGCGATTACTGGATCACGCTAGAGTCACGCGAAGCGCTATTGTCCCAACCAAACATACCGAATTCGTTCCATGTCTAACCCTTAGCTTTTGCTGCTTGCATTCAACCTTCTGTAGAAATGTCGCTCAATTTAGTATATTTTCAGGCAGTACATCAACAGCCCACGTGATGTTACAATGGGAAGTCACGGCGCTGCTACACAGAGCCATTCTAGATAGTCACTGGGACCGAGTTAGGATTTGATCATATATTTCAATCGTGTGGTAGATTCTATTGTTAAGGCTGGTTGTATTCTGCTTAGAAAGTTCAAAAGACAATCATTTTAACAGATGAAAGTCAGACTTGGGGTTTCCGAGGCGATGAAATTAGACGTGAAAACAAAAATGACGAGTTAAATGAGTGTACACGCATTTGCAAACTAATTCGTTTTTTTTAGAGAGACTCACCTGGAACCCAGCTGAATCTCTTGTTTGTGATGTTCTCAGGCAACTGAATGTGCTTCACCAGGCCGCCTCATGTTTCAGCCGCTACGATATTAGAGATATCGCGATAGATGTATATCTTTGTAACCTTCTACTCATAAGCTTGCTGAAAAACCAAATTAGTTTGCAAATGAATGTATATTCGCTAATTTCGTGGAATTTAGTTCCGAGTAGAACATAAGATGGACGGAAACCCGGGTACTGCGCCTACCTGATGAGCCCCAAAAGGGCGAAACCGATCAAACTTGAGGACATGAAAACAAAAAACGACGAGTTGAGTGGTTTGAAAGGGATAGCCACAAAAGTAGCCCCGCACTTATTGACCATCCATAATCCGTTGGAGACCAGTGCGACAGGAGGTACATCACCTTCAGAGCTTAAATAGTCTCCTTTTAGTACTCTCAGTTTGACCAATGCAAGTAGCCTGTCGAAACTGCCTAGCCTTGAGCTGAAGGAACATGATTCAACAGACCTCAGCACTAGCACTCAGCGCGTACTGGACCTGTGACAATAACGTGACTCGTGAACAGGTTATCGAGTTAGCCCGGTTTTAAGACAGATGAAAAAAGGCCAGCAAGACCTCTTTCGATTAGCACAGTGGATTAGTGTTGAATGTTAGTTATTGGGTCTTGTCGGTCAATGTGGTTGCGTGAATCTTACGGGTTTGGAGTTGAGGGAATTTCAGAGTATTTTCACTCGAGTTTGGTTTCTTGAACTTCCGGTCCAAGGTTCAAGGTGCTTCAGTTGACGATTCACCTATCAAGCCAACGGTAAATTTCGTTGGTCTGTGTGGGCTTCTAAGTGACGCCTACGACCATTTGTTTTGGAGGAGAGTGAGATTAAGTGAAATCGTTGGTCCGTTTGGTACATGCACTTCTGTTGACCACTCTTCTTTCTGATGACCACAGACCACCACGCAGCATATCCACTGATCTAAAACCATTCATCACACGCCTCCCAGTCGTACGTCTTCTACTCTATTTACACTGGAGTGCTTGGCGATTCACACCGCCCCGGCCATCAGTTCCTGTGACGTGAACTGTTGTCCCCTCCTCAAAAATTCAACATTTTCTAAATCTGTTTTCTGCCCGTATCCAGTTCACGTTCCATCAATGCTGCGTCTTTCAATAATGCTCGATATTCATATGGACCCCTAGGTGACCTGTTTGATTTCCTTCTGTGCTGTCCGATTCTGGTTTGAAGTTCCCCGACCGTCTGTCCTGTACAGACCCTACCGCAGTCGCTGTATTTAATTTTGTAGGCACAGTCCCTGTTTCTGTTCGACGGGGGGTGATCTTTCAACTGCACCAGTGCAGAGTGTTTCTCTTTTGGAACGTTATTCTTATGTTAACAGTGTTCAGAATCCTTCGGATGTTCCTGGTTTATATGGGATAACAGCAACCCATTCCATTCCCTGTTGTATTTTCGCCACTGGTACCAACATTCTTCGTAATTGACGCCTAGCTGGATATCCACTATCCCGAAGCTTTCCCTTTATTTCAGTTTCATTCACTGTCAATTTGTCGAAATATAGGTAGATCGGGTGTGGTTACCGGCGGTTGATCAGGGGGGAGTTGATCTGTTCGCCGAGCTTGGCAGCTGGCTTGCAAACGTTCCGCCCCCAGACATCGTCAGTGCTCAGTTGATCCACTCAGTTGACAATTCGATTACTTAGTGATCACAACAATCATTGACTACAACGCCTGCGTGACT